AATTGTAAAAACTTTATTTATTCCCATCTGTATTTGCACATATTTTAATAAACTGCTGCACCTATTTCCTGCTTTTCTGAAAAATATAAAGAAATGAGGGGTGGCTCCAAAGTTTTGCACAGTACTGTAGATTATGGTAGAATTAAACTGCTCTGTGAGTGTCTTTGTGTGACACTTTAAACTGTAGAGATGGATGTGTTATAAATAACTCAATGAACGTCTCAACTGGACAAAAAGGCATGAAAAAAACCCACATTAAAGTGAGAATAAAGTGTCCCCAGAGCTGTAGCTCTGAGCGCTGTAGGCTGACACGGCAAAAAAAAAAAGGTAGATTTAAATTACAACTTCATTCCACTAGGTGGTGTAACAATCCATCCAGGAACAACACTTTTTCAATAGTGAAACAGCTTAAATCGGTAGAAAACTAAGCAAAGATCATGAAATAATTGTCCTGCTGTACCTTTCTCGTCAGATGTTGTTTGCTTTATCTGAGGCTCAGCTGGAGAAACAGCCTTCACTGGAGTTGTAGATTCAGGGGTCTCAAAAGCGCCATCAGAGTCTGAGCTCCTACAATAAAAGATGAGGAAACATTAAGTGAAAGGTGCTGTGAAGCAGGCCGATACCCACTGGACTATAACGACCCGTATCAGGCTCATTAACATAAATATCCATCCATCTCAAGAAAAAAGTGAAAGATAATATCATCACGAAGGACAGAATTATTTTCCAGTCGTGCAGCTCTAATGTTATTCTTTATGTCACGGTATGTTGGAGGTATTTTTAATCAGAGGCTACACATTTTATTACACGCTTGCAGTACATCATGTGGGAATGTCAGTAAGAGTATTTCCTGTAATGTGTGATGGTTTAAAAAAAATTTAAAAAGCTCCAGGCTATAATGTGTTTATGTTTTCACTTCTAGGTGCTCCAATGAGAATGCTGAATCTGCAGTGAGGTGACAGATAACGACACGCCTGAGACTAAGCATTACCTTACATAGCACACACCAAGACTCAAATATACCAGAAAGCCTCAAGAGCCTTGATGAGATATGACAGCTATAAAATACAGGAAATACACAGGAAATACGGAAACACCTGAATTAAAACAATGAGAAATTAAAGCTTTCTGCGTGCAAATAAAGTCAGTACATCTTATCATTCTCAGCAAAACACACTCAAGTACACAAGTGGCAGCGAAGCTGGAAACATAGCTTGGCTACCCAGCTTAATGCTATGCTGATCAATGGATTATCTGACGGTATATGATTCCGGTCCCCCATCCTGTCTCACCTCTGTCTGACCGGTTCCCCGGCAGCCCTGATCATGCTGTCATGACGTGAGCCCCAGGAGAGACGGCGAAGGAGCCCCAGAGCCGGATCAGCGTCTGGGCTGTTCCCGTCTCCTGCCCCACCCAGCAGAGTGTCCCAGCCCCATCGAGCCCACTGCAGTGGAGACAGAGCCTGCCACGCACTCACTGCCATGGTTGCTGGTGGGCTGCACCTCTCCGCACCACAGAGCTACTGCCTGACACACAGGTAGGAGCCCACAGATAGGATCCTGGATGCAGCCTTCCCTCTGCCTTGTCTTCTTCTCTCTGTCGTCTAGTATCCGGATCTCTTTGTCTCTAATCTACAGTCCTTTCATGCTGCTCTTCTTTGTCATCTGTAGCCATATCAGTTTGTCTCCACTCCTGTTCAGTAGGAAATGCTGTCTCCCAATCTAAATGCGACCGCCTGCAGAAGCCCACCTCCAGCACTACACTATATTCTCTCTCGCTCTCTCTCCCTCTCTCACTCCTCCATCCCTCTACCCCTGCCTCCTTTTTTCCTGAAAATCTTTGCTATATCCACACTGCACAGGTCTAAAACACACCAGCCAGTTAAACCTCATTGTCTTGGATTGTATATTATACTGTACTGCAATAACACCATTTCAACTGGCATGTAATATATGTTACAGCACCCTTTAATCTTTTTCTATTCATACTGTCCATTCCTGCCTGAATTCAACAAATTTTGCTTTTCTTCAAGCAAAGACATACAGAGATTCCCCCCCCCAGGCAAATTCCAAAGCTTTCAATGGCTCAAATAAATGTGTACCATGAATGAGAAGGGCACATGGGACACCACTTAAGCCTTCAATGTGGTCAATAATAGAAACCAAGCAAGCTAGCAGTAATGTAGCATTACATTACAGCAACAGCAGAGATTTAAACTAACAGTATCGCATGCATCTAAAACATGAATGTTAATACACCAACAGCATATCAAATATTAGGGGGGCGTAATTAATACTTGTTTTTTTTAGCTTAACTCTGCAAAGGTGCTGTGATGCCAGATGAGACAGCACATGGTCTAGATGTGAGACAGAGCTGTAATCTCTGTGAGGGCCAAGTGTGTCCCAGCAGGATAAGACGGGTATGCCTACAAATCCATCTGGATCAGTCACTAGTAACTGCTTTGTACATTCAGGTGGTCAGGCAGGCAGTGACACAGACAGCTTCAAGGACAAGGACCCACTTACAGGGAGTAATATGCAAAGAGCAAATAAGCTTACAGACCACCGATCTAGGTTTACTGTACAAAATAGAGCCACTCAGTTAATTCATCGATAAAAAAGAAATTTAGCCGCCTAGTTAATGTTTTTAAATTTTAAAAAAAAAATCAACTCTCAAAAGCTTCTACTTCCCAGATGTATGCAAATAAAGCAAAAAGGCAATAACAAAGTAATTAGGGCTCATTTCAGAGCTCTGTTTATGTCCTTGTGGATAGCATTTTTCATGCAACTGCAAACACAGTGTTGCTATGGTAACTAGAGGTTGCTCGCGCCATATGTTCCACGAATACGGAAGAAGAAAAGCTGTCTGGATCCACACTGTTGAAAATACACACACAACCTAAAAAGGCCCCCACAGCTGACTGAGTGAAGTATATTATGATACGTGAAATGCTATAAATGCACACTGTAGATCTACACAGAGGTACGAAGCTGTTGCATCAGCATCCTTTTGTTCAAAGCTCATTAAGAAAAACATGATCACTTTCTATTTATTTTTGCGCTATTATTTAATCCAGTAAATGTCCTTATTGGCCATCATTATTCTAATTTATTCCACTGGCATCTATTCGATCAAACACCGGCAGAAATTATATAATTAAATGTGGATATCATGGAAATTAATAAGATGAATAATAATCACCGGGGAATGCCGACTGTGTTAATGCAACCACATCAGAAGCAGCTCCTGTGCTACATAGCAGCTGATGAAACGTAGAAAGAATATGAGCAGGGTGTGGGAGAGCAGTCGGGGTATGGGGACGAGCGGAGACAAAGAGAGCAGCAGTTAATAGCAGCCTCTCGCAGGCTGAGATGACTGCCTGGAGACAGAAACTCTGCAGCGTGAGGCAGGAAGATGCTGCTTTTCAGACAGCCAGCTGTGTCGCTGCTTCCAACCGAATCCAACGCAGTATGTCTAAACAGCTTTCAGAGCGCTGGAGGGAGAGCCGCCGGGAGAAATGGGAGGCAGGGTTAAAAGCGACACAAAAACAGAATCTGGCTCAAAAGAATAAATTTTAAATTGTAAATTGAGATGAGCAATCGTCCGTTTTTGCAAAAAGAGTAAATCTGGCATCGTCACTAAAGAGAGAAATAAGGAGACGTGGAATGAGATGGGGGGAAAAGAAGAAGGGAGGGAGGACTAGAGGCAGGCTGATGGTCTCCAAGCTGCTGTTTGATTAGCTTTAAAGGATTAGCTGCTGCACACTCCCTCCATCGAATCTTGACTGTCATACACCCCCAAAGCTAAACCTCTACAATTCATTACATCTTTGTTTTCTGCTCCTGATCCAGCGATTTTTTTTTCCACTCTCAGCTCTGCACGGGTTTCAGCATCGGGCAGATTTGTGATTTGCTTTTAGCATTATGGCCAACAAAGAACCTACTCCCCCCCCAACAAAAAGGGAAAGAACAGCGTAAAGTAGCAGTAGCAATAATCTTTAACTTAATCTGTTGGATGCTTCATAGCAATTATGAGTGACAAACTAATTATCACCAAAGAAAATAGATAATGAAAAAGGCGCAACTTTTACAAAGTGTCTTTTCTAATAAGGTAACGCTGTGTTTTGATCTATACTAGGAACAGAGAAGGAAGAGGAAAATATGGCATCATAATGAAATATAGAGGCATACTATGCCTGTCCTAGTTTAACTACAGAGGCCAACAGAGGGAGCTCCGACACATTTATCCTACTGATGAATGAGTCTGAATATGAAATATTGCATCATAGCCATTGTACGCTACAACCTATTTTCATTTTACAAAAGCACGTGCACAGTTTCTAGGATAGGATTAACAGGCAGCAGCCTACAGAGGATTTACAGTGGAAAAAAAACACAAATAACTATAACATCTGCAGTTGATTACTGAACCTGCACTATCAAAATAATCTCTCAAACAGCAGATGGTTTGAAGTTTTCATCTCCATCAAGGCTGACGTCAACTCTGATCAGCGATCACCTGTAATCTGGGGTCATTTGTCCAAAGTCTCAGAACAAGGAAGCCATTAAGATAGAATGTCAGGCTAAGATAATCTTTATGAGTAATACCGCACTTAGCATAATCTGACCAATGACTGTAAGCAGATGGCACATTAAAAGGCAACAGGCCAGGCTGACGCCAGTAAAGCAGGCGATCGGCAAGTAGGGGGCTGCAACATCTCTCTCCATTTGGATTATGAGATCAGATGCTTGGTTCGTTCTCCTACCTTGGAAAGCAAAGGTAGGCGAGAGACAATGCCCCAGTCCTCATTCAGTTTAATTCAATTTTATTTACATAGCAGCAAATCACAAAAACTGTCACCTCTAGATGATTTATACTGTAAGGTAAAGACACTACAGTAATAAACAGAAAACCCCCAAAATCAGACGGCACCCTATGAGCAAGTACTTGGTGACAGTGGAAAGAAAAAACTTTTAATAGGAAGAAACCTCCAGCAGAACCAGGCTCAGGAAGAAGCAGCCATCTGGTATAACCAGTTAAGGATGAAGGGAGAAACACAGGACATGAGAACCAGAGATTAATAATAACTAATGATTAAAGAGCTTGGACTCTTGTTTTACGTTTTAAAATAAAATGAGACTGAAAAGAACTAAAAGTCAGTAATTTGGTCTTTTTTCTTACACTCCGATTAGTAACATATAATGTTTTGATGTGTGAAAGCTTCTTATTAGTGCCTTAAACAGTGTTCCACAACTGATGGAGTAAAGTAGAAGTCGTACAATTAATGGTTGGGACAGCTCTGCAGTTGTGAATATTAATACAAAAGTATCCAGTCCTCCGAGGCCTAGACTTTGTAGGACTTTAAGATGAAAAATGACTTTATTATGCCATTAATCTTTAATTTCTACAGCACACAAACACCAGCGTTCATCCATTTCCCTGATCTCTCTCCTCTGTTGCTCCCCCGGGCGCAGTAGTGTGTCTGAGTTATAAATAAAACAAAGCAAAGTGGAGCACTCTTGCTCCGTCTCGCTCCCTCTAACTCCCTTTCTCTCATCCACTGATAT